GCTTGTGAGGCTCCATGTTGCGAAGAACTTCTTATCGCACCTGCACCCACCACCTTCATACAGAACCTGGGTTCGGATCTACCACAAGTCGTGGGAGAAAACCATTCGTTTCAGAACAGAGAATCAGCATGCCAAATGCACTGTATGTCTTACCATGAAGGAACACAAAAGGCAAGCCTCCACGGTCTCCGACTCCACTGTGGTGGCAAATGCCTATATTCAACATCTCAATTTGATGATGGAAGACAGAAAAGCAGATGCAGTGTGGAGGCAGATCGGCTTCGACAGTGTCAGGACTGGAATTACTTGTCTACATGAGGGCGTTGCTTCTTGGTTGACGTTCACGGTGGATGGCATGGACTGCGCCAAGTTCAAGATACCCTTGAACATCAGCAAGACCAAAGATTTTTGCTCCATGCATCGTCCTGAAATGAAGTTGACACCTCGTGGACCCTCGTCTTTTTCTCTGAACACTTTGTGCCCAAAACATCTAATGCTAATTAGGTTGAAACTGATTAAGTGTCTTCAGATTCATTGTTGGATATCCAAGGTGGCCGATGGCCTTCTTGAACATTTCTTTCTGATGGACGAGGACATCGCTCCGACATCAAACCTTGACTTGAGCCTCATGACAGAAACCATGTCGCGGTGCTACTACTACATACAACGTATTGGAAAGGCCAGTTACCCTCGGGGGCTCCGAGTGCATGCAGACAACGCAGCTGCCGAGACAAAGAACCAGGTGGCCTTTAAGTTTGGAGCATACCTGTTGTGGAATGGATACTTTGACAATGTCGTTTGGTCTTATTTCCAGACTGGACACAGCCATGGATTGCCAGATCAGCGGTTCAGTGAGGTCAGACATCTGCTGTTTCAAGAATCAGTCTTGGAATGCCCAAAAGACTTCATCAAAGTTCTGCAGCAGGTGAAACCCAGGCAACAAAGAGAGCTACTGATCACCTCCGTTGATGGTTTGCGATTGGAAATCCTTTTTCGACCCACTTGAGATCAGCCTACATGGACATACGATGACAGCTGGGAAGAAGAAAAAGGGTGAGCACGCGTGCCATTTCTACATGATGGTCACACGCAAGAAGTACAGTGAAATTGGTGATTTGGCGATGATTGAAAACTTTCCAGATGAGGAGCCACATGAGAAGGACATCATTATGATAGTCAAATCACACTTGTCATCCACTGACCTGGCCCAGGCACCCTTCGTGTTCCTGCCTGCAGCGGCTCTGGCAAAGCTACAACGCTTTCCCGAGTACAATGTCCCCAGGAACAGCATGAGTGACAAAGTGAGGAAAGAGCTTGTGAAGACAATCAACAAAGTGGAGAGACCTCCGTGGTCGATGACAGATGCAGGAGCGTATCTACGCAAATTGATTGAGCAAGCAGGTCAAGTGCCAGAAGTGCCTGAGACATGTGGTCACCCATTGGAAGAGTTGCGCGACAAGCTGAGCAAGCCGGAAGACCCGTCTGCAAAGAACCTTCTGAAGGAGAAGCCATTACCACAAAATTTGTTGAGTTTTTGCATAGATTGTTCAACCTGTTTTTTCTTTGGTTGCCTTCCATTTGCTTCACTACAAAGTTGGTGGCAATTACTTCAATGAGTACATTCTAAAGCCCTTCAAGTCTGAGTGACTTTTGCTTCAACGCACACCCGGGTGGAAGTGAAGCGGGCAGCCAAAAAGTCTGCAGCAAAACCCAAAGCTGCACCAGAAGCTTTGCCAGAGGATGCTGGGCCCCTGAGTGACCGAGAGAATGCCGTTGTTGAAAACCTTGACCTGTCATTGCCCAGCCCAGCTGCTTCAGCCAATGAGCTTGAGAATCCTGCTGATCATGGACGTGGACGTGGGCGTGGTCGAGGTGGCTGTGGTGGGAAAGGACCTGCTGTCAAGAAAAGGCCAGCCTCAGCATCTGGAAAGGGAGGTCCTAGCAAAAGGCCAGCCTCAGCAGAGCATGCAGTGCCTGCAGCTTCAATGAATGATCAGAATGAAGCAGCATCAGGTGCCCCACATCCACCACCAGATGCTCCAAGGGCTGCACCAGATGAACATGAGGCAGAAGTTGCCCTTCGAGGTGGAAATTCCGCGAGGCTCTATGCTGACATCTCGCTTGGGTGCCCGAAATGCCGCAATTCCAGAGTTGGCTGTGCTACTTGCCGGAAGGCCAATGGACTCTGGTTGACCAACAGTTGCTTGGCTGCTGTTTTTTCAATCGATGATGTATGAAAGAGATTGAGCACAACAGGGAAAGTGCTAGTGTACTGTGATAGGATTGCTTTTGAAAGGTTGATGCGAGTCTTATTAATTATTATTGTGGCACATGTGTTGTATATTCACCACGATCACAAAATGCGGTCCACTAAGATGTTTGGACAAAGCCAAACGATGATTGACATCCACTTCCAGAAGCGCCAGTCCGATTTTCCTGAGGAGCAACAGCAGAAAGCAAATGCAAAAAAGGTGTTAATTCCTGATACTTGAAGCAGTCAGTCTTTTTCAGAGAAAGGTGCTGTAAGAGTTCCTAAGGTTGCACACATTCCAAAGAGTGCCGTTAAAGTACTTTATATATAGTCAGAATAAACCTTCGCAGATAGGTTCGTGTTCCCATTCTGAGGCGTCACATTTGCAATAATTTTGCTTGGCACTTATTCTGCAAGACTGCAAGAACGTGAAGTTGTGACAGATTTAAAGTAAAGAAGATGTTGCATCCTTTTCTGAGGCCCCTCTTTGCAATGCCACCACAACCCCTGGGTGGTGCGCACCAGGGTTGCAAAGCTTTTGACATTTGTGCAGCTGTGCACTTGTTCTTGACATGCCTGCTTGCTTCTCAATGTCAGTGTTGTGGTGCATGTCAATGCCTTCCTGCTGGTTTATGCCCATTTCAACAGGAAATTGGGCTCAAAGTGTTTTTGCCTTTCATTTGCCACAATGCCTGCAGTGCATTCCGTCCCAGTGAGAGAACTGCCAAATGCTGATGTGATCATGATAGAAGGATCTGATTCAGATGCTGACTCTGATGTGACACTGGACTATGGCAAACCTGACGGCCCTTGGCACTTCATGGAAATCTACAGCCCCTTCCGCGTAGCTGCAGCAGTGCATCGGCTGGGCTTGAAGTCAGCAGGAAGCTTAGATGTGCTCAACGGCGTTGACCTTCTCACTCCAGATGGCAGGATGACAGCACTACGCCTGCTGGAGTCAAAGAAACCTTTGTTTCTTATGAGCAGCCCCCCGTGCACCATGTATTCAGAGCTCACGCGGTTGTGGAACGCCAAGAAGATGGACAAGAAGGTTCGGAAGCTCCGCCAGAAAGAAGCGGATTTGATGCTCAAGTTTGGGGTGGAGATGTGTGCTATTCAGCACAAAGCTGGAAGACTTTACTGTCATGAGCACCCTCACAAAGCGTCATCGTGGAAGTCATCTTTGGTACCTTTGCTTCATTTGGTTTCATCTGACCCAGTACAGTGAAAAGATGTGGCTGAGGTTTTTTGAGGCAGGGAAACTGAACATTTGACTGAGGTACAGAAAATGGTCAACTGGCCAGAGACACAGCTGGTCAGTTTTGATCAGACGCTTGCTTCAATCAGCTTTTGGTTTGGTTGATTTTTGCTTGACAAACCTTCACGATTTTCTTATATATAAACGTGTAACGCGGTGTGCTGCAAGAGTATGCCAAACAAGCCAAACAATTGGTGCTGGAAGAGTGCCTCTCATGACATTGGTGCTGTAATAGTACATCCAGGTGCTGCAAAAGTACCTCCGTGAAATTGATGCTGTAGACTTAGAATAGCTCTAGCACTTGCTCATTGTTTGTTCTATGGATCACTTTTTGAAGGTCTCTGGGTGTGCATGTTGGATGTGTGGGTTTGCTTTAAGGTGCAGGACAGGCCTTTGTGCCCCTGGATCCTCTGTGGATGTGCACCCTATCAAGAAGCGCACCACCTTGATGACAAACAGCGCAAGCGTTGTCAGAATCTTCTCACAGCTGCAGTGTGAGTGCAGTGTGGAGCATTTCCATGTGCAGGGTTCTTTCAACGGCGTGCCTGTGTCCAAACATTGCCAAATTTACACTCCAGGGCTTTGTGCAAAACTGGCAGAGGCTGTGCAGGAGGAGGCTAGCCAGAGAATCCCGTGAGAGTGGACTGCCAAAGGCTTCCCAAATTCGAAATTCAATGCCAGCTGTCCCAGCAGACTACAAGTAGACTAGAGCCTGTATCTCTCAAGATAACGAATGGCCTGGATGGTCCTGGATGGTGGAAAACTAAGCATCAGTCCGAATCCGGGCGAAGTGGGGGTGCAGAAATCCTGCCCCCCCCTAAGCCTGATTTCATCTGAAACCGGGCGAAATCGGTATCGTAACCATGGATCCAGGCTAAGTGGGGGTGCAGGATTTCTGCAGGGGGGGTTAGCCTGGAATCTATCTAACCCTGGGGGGATAGCCTGATTTCATCTGAAATCGGGCGAAGTGGGGGTGCAGGATTTCTGCAGGGTGGGTTAGCCTGACCTATACAATTTTGTTTTTTGAGATCTTGATTTCAAGTCCTCTGGACCAGTGCTTTTTTGGCTTTCAGCCTTGGGGAAGCTAGCTGACTGATGTCAGCTGAAATGGCAATGCCAGTGACACCGGGGGCAAGCTTAGAATCGGGTTTGGACCGATGCTATGACAATGACCCTCCAGGGCCTGTGCTGACACCTTCCAAGGTGAAGACACATGATGATGGTGGCAGTGAGAAGTGTTTCTCTTTGACAACGGCCAAAGGTGAGGATGTTGAGATGAAAGAAGAGCCTGCGATTTGCAAGGGCCTTGATGATCAACAACTGATTTCTCTGGAGAGGGCCTTGAAGAATGCAAGCACAGAGGAGTTCAAGGACGTTTTCTACAAGTATGGCAAAGGAATGCTTGTCAAGTTCAATGGAGTCTCTGAGTTGCTGAATGACTGGTGCTCACTTGGCCTTGATTCCAAGCAGTTTGCAGAGGACCTTTTGAACATGTTCCCGAAGTCTGATGCAATTGCCTTCGCATCATGCTTGCCTGGGAATGACTCGGATGAGTTCAACCTACACCTGAGTGATCTTTCTTGGTTTCCATCTGCTTCAACGAAGCCACCGCCATATCTTCACACATGCCTTGCCCTGTGGGATGAAATCACAACCAATGGCTTTGTCACCAAAGGTGACTGTGCTCAATCCAATGATTGTTTTTGGGTGTGTTTGTGTTGTAATGATCTCTCTGTTTGCCCTTGTTCACGGTAGTCAGTCTCTTTAGCAGGTGACCCGTTGCTGCTGTGGGATGGCCCTGCTCATGCAGATGGGCGGGATCATGCTTGGGTCTACTATGTGAAGGGAGCAGCGCGAGGAATGATTGCTCTTTTCACTGCATTTATATGCATCAAGAACAGTACCTCAGCCTTATTGCATTGATGTTCTTTTGAACTTGTTGCTATTTTTGCCAACTTGATGAGCTATTGACTCCTTCATGTTCTCTCTGTGTGGTTCTTGTCTTCAGGTTTGAAGCTGAACATCATGCATCCAGTGCTCTATGACAGCTTGCGCTTCATTTGTTGCAGGCGTGGTTCAATGTCAAATGACCTGACGAGGGTGGCATTTACAAATGCCAAGCTAAGTGCTCGAGGATCGATTCGAAGGTCCCATGATGTTGCAACTTGGTTATCCAAGATGAGCATGCTATGTGAACGTGGCTTAAAAGCAGACAGTGCGATCAAGTCATGGAACTCAGAGGCGACCCGTGAATCTCAGTTGGTGGGTCAGAAACGTGTTGCTCTCTTGGCGCTTCTCAATGCTCCAAATGGGACAAAGGAACTTCTTCTCCAGCATGCCTCTTTCTTTGGAAGTAGTTCAGCATATTCTGAAGAGTGCTTCTCCGCCAAGAACCTTTTCCCAGGGTCTCAGCCTCGAAGTGTGCTGGACAAAGCTTGGCGCGCCCGCCTCACTGTCACAGATCCAGGCTTCTTGCTTTTCTTGCAGTACACAGATGCTTGCCACCATCAAAAAGTACCTGAAGTCCGAGGAAAACTGAGCAAGGAGAGGATTTTGGAGCTCAGTCAACTTGCACAGTTGGTGACCTCAATGGAACAGGAGTTGAAGGATGGTGGCGTTGTGACTACCAAGATCTCTGAGGCTTTGCTGGCTTGTGATGGCAACCTGGAGTTAGAACTCCAAGTAGCATTGAGCAAGAAGAGTTCCAAATGGAAAATTGCAGATGTGACGCTTGTGCAGGAAGTTCTGAAGAATCATTCATTCCGCAGCAGCTGACTCAAAGTTCTATGTCGAGAAGCGGATGGTTGCAGCAGGTGAGCTTGAACGAGAAGAGTATGACCTGATGAAGAAGATGTTTGAGTTTCTTGCTGTCATTTGTGTTCTTTATGCTTGGTTTTTAGTTGGGGGATCATAAGAGCATAAAAGATCAATTTGGGTTCATTGTTCTCATTTGTTTCAATCAACAAGGCATGACCTGAAGAGCTTTGAGAACTGGAAGGTTCGCTGCGCAGACCGGGATGCTGCCATTTACCATGCAGAACTGCAACATAAGGTTCACCGACAAGCAGAAGCTCAAAAGCAAGCATCCAGCTTGTTGGATCCAGCTAGTTCGAACTGGATGGCTTCCTTGGAGGTCCTTGGAAACGCCCAGGACACCCTGCGCCGCATCAAGGCCACTGTTGGCAAGATCAAGCAGATATTCCAGATTCCAGCCGAGGAGATCTACGTGGTGGCTGTGTGCAACTGGAGTTCACCAAGTCTTGTCTCTTCTGCAGCACAAAAATGCCAAGCCACGGTCCTTGGTGCCCTGTGCAATGATGCTGTTGGCTGTGGACGAACCATTGGCCTAGTTCTTGAGCCATGTCACACCTACAGCAAAGGCCAGCTGTGGAAACAGGAGGAGCTGTTGCGCAAGCAGTTGGTGAACAATCGATGCAACATAGATGGTCGCTTTGTTCTGCCATTTGTTGAAAGGCAAGACGATCGAGATCAAAGGCCAGGGATGTGGCCAGGGTTCTGAACCAAATATGTATCATTATCAAATTTGACAAAAGAACAGAGTTCATGTTGATATCACTGGATGCTTTGTTTGTCCATTGCAGCCCTTCACTTGGAGGTCTATGTGTCGACATGGACGGCTGATATTCCCCAGTGACGATGACCAATGTGGTCAGGTATGGCGAACTTGGAAGAATTGCCAAGTCCTAGCCAAAGGACTCTTGGAAGAATCTCATTGTCTTCAGTCCAAAGACTTTGTTGCGATTGAAGATTGCAGCGAGTCTGCTTTGCCATCATCGACAACACTGACTCACAATGCCGGCCCGGCCGAGAAGTGCTGTCAGTTGGGCAAGGATGCATGTGGCTCACTGTTGAGGGGTACATTCAGCACATTGGGTTCAGGCAAGCCAGTTGTCCTGGTGATTGACCTGTTTGTGCACACAGGCGACCTGCTTAAGGCTTGCATGAAGGAGCGATTCAATCCAGCAATGTCTCTTCACATGTTTTACCTTGGGTTCCATGCATCTCAACTGGAGGCAAGGTGTTCGTGAAAAGTATGATGATTCTCAACTGAGCATTTTCCTCTAATTTGTGTTGTGACATGCTTTGTATATGATACTTGATCAAGGCTGAATGGGCAAAGCAGCACCATGTGGAGAAGCTATTCGAGTCCTTCTTGAGCGAGGAGTACAAGCCCTTGACACCTCTCCCTGGCCCCCCGGATCAGTTGGCTCAGCCTGGCCCTCAACATCCTACTTTGAGTTTGCTGGCTTGGGGCACTGGCAAAGCAAAGGACACTTTGAAAACACCGGATAAAGTCCTCAAAGCTTGGTGGGATGGAAATTTTGCTTCTGAGTTCAGGGCCTTAGTGGAGGAGGCAAGACAAAACCATCAGCTTGACATCAAGATCGATGAGAGCCAGAACGCTCAAACTCAAAAGCGCCGGCGGGTCAATGCTGAAGGTGAGTCTGTGCCAGGCCAAAACAACAGCAGCTCTTCTAGCACGCCTGCAGCAGCCACAACCACAGATGTGAAGGTGGTGGACGTTCCGGACATTCCAACCCTTTGCTTTGAGTGCAAGGTCACTTCCAACCCGAGCCTTGTTCTGAAGGTCACTATTGGCCAAGGTGTGTTCTTGGAGAATTTGATGGATACTCCACAGGTGTTGAAGGCAGGAGTGGTTCTGTGTGGGTACTACAAAGGCAAGTTTTGGTCACCAGATGGCAATGGAGAGAAGCCATGCGAGAAGTCGGATGTCTTGTTCCGATTGGAGTCCAGTATGGACCATGTGATGCTCAACTCGAAGTACCTGAAGGTCTCTGAAGTGATTAGGGAGAAGCGCAAATTGACACCAGCGGACGCTCATGTGGCCTATCATGAACTGCAGGATTCGCCGACACCTACTGATGCATCTGCATTCAACTTGGTGCCCAAGAAAATGGATGTCTTCTTCAAGATCTCGGACTTTCCTGCAGTGAAGCAAGAAGAAGATGGTCAGGATAAGTTGATGATTCCTTCCGCTCACTTGGCTGGAACTGTGCCATCAAAGGTGTGGCAAACAAGTGATCTTGCCAAGGTCACTTGGGCTGTGAAATGGCCTGCAGTGGCTTCAAAAGGTCTACAACCTGTCAGGCCAATGATCGTCTGCGCAAAGGACATTACTGTTCCGCCAAAGCAAGCTGTGGAAGTTGTGAAGCCTAGCACCTGAGCCCAAGCGCCGGCATCTGTTCAATGATATGCTGAATCGCTGGCACTTGAAGTTTTGAATGTTCTCCATATTTCATGGGTAGTGAGAATCTTGTGATGCCTTTGTTGAGTTGAGATGTGTTTTCCAGAAACAAGCGACTTGTGAAACCACCACAACAAGCCAGGTTAGCTTTTGTTGTTTCAGAAGCATGTCTGGGCATCAATGAGAGCTTGAAGCGGGGTGGGTCCAGACTCACACAACGGAATGAGTCTGTGTTGGATCAATGCTGTGGCCATGACAAAGTGGTAGAGACACTACTGTCAAGATTGAGTTGCAGCACTTGTGTCACTTTGTTATCTCTTCATTGGTCAAGAAACTACTGTAATCATCTTTCACCAGGTACCTGGCAGATTTTGCAGGTTTGAAGCTTAGACTGGGCTGCCTACTGACTTGATGCAATTCTCCGTTTGGTGCTGCAAGAGTACCGTGAAATTGATGACACTCTGGTGCTGAAAGAGTACCGTTCATTTTTTGTGCCTGGTTCTGATTCTGCACGAGTACCTTAAAATGTGTTCTTTCACCCTGGTGCTGAAAGAGTACCTTCAATCTAGTACTTCTTGACATGTCTTTGAGGCCTGACCATTGGATTGGTTGTGTGATTTGAATGGTGCTGGCCTTGGGTTTGGGAATGGGGAAACAAGTCAGATCTATGCAATTCAGATTTCAATTTGTTGCGTTTGCTGCATTCTTGTTCAAGATGCAAGGATAGCAGTTCAACACCTGGAAAAAACATGTTTGATTTCAATGGCGTGCAGATTCACACCCATGACACCCATGTTTTCTTTTCACAGTGGTCTCAATCTGGCAAGTCTCAAGCCTAGCCACCCAGCAATGGGAGAACATAGTGAGGGGCCACCACCAATGCCTGTCTCTGAGAGGAAAAGGACTGCAGCACCTAGACCTCCCCTTGCGCCGCTAGAGAAGAAGGCCAGGCCAGCTGAGCCGCCACCAATCAAGCTGATGACTGCAAGTGCAAAGGGCAGTGCGCCGCTTCCTCCAGCGAGCATGGTGTCACCGCCTCCCCGAGCACCAAAACATGGAACAGCAGCATCGGCAATTGGCGCAAGATCTGTGAAGCAAGAAGATGGCCCAGCAACGGTTGCTGCTGCCAAAGCTTCACTGCCCAAAGAAACAACTGCAGCTGCAGAGGCGCAGCAACATGGAGGCCACATGGCCAAACCACCCAATGCACCAGCTGCCAGAACGACACCTGCAACAGCAGGCAATCAGCCAGCAAATGCTTCAAGCGCAGCAGCAACGAGCAGCCAACCAGCAGCTGGGGGTTCTACCAAAACTGAATCACCTGCAGAAGTATCACCAAAAGTTGAAGTGCCAGACCCAGGTGTAAAGGTTGAAGGAGTGTCAGATACACCAGTGCCACAGCAAGGTGGTGCTTGGGGTGTGTATGGATCAGTGCCGTCACCTGGTGTGCAATGTGGCTTCCATCGACCTACGGTGTCGCCGCAGCTGGGCAACATGGGGGCACAATTTTCACCAGCAACACCGTTGATGCAAACAGTGCACTTTGCACAAATGCCAGCTGGACAGGTACCGACTATTATGCCTTCAGGGTTGCCTGCTATGATGCCTGGGCCAATGCAATTTGGGGTGCCACCAGTGGCACCGATGGTTCAACCAGTGTCACAGGCGCAAGTGGCTGCAGCAGCAGCAGCAGCAGCTGAAGCTCCAGCAGCGCAAGCATCTTCTGCAGCTGGAACATTCACCTCCCTTCCAGGCCATGGTGTTTGGCGCCCTGGATGCCCGTCTGGCCAGCAGAAAGGGGAACGTCAGGGCAAAGGCAAAGGCCATGTCCACAATAGTGCTCAGATTCGGCGGGAAAGTGCACAGCGAGAGAAGATCATCCGAGAATCCTATGAATCCCAAATGCAGGCTCAACAAGATAACTTTGATATCAGGATGGAGTCTTTGTCTACAACCTATGAGGCAAGGGTTGAGACCTTGAGAGCAGAGCTGGTGACTGTGAGGGCTCGACTTGCGCTGGCTGAGAATATGTTGCGCCAGAATGGATTGCTGCCCTGACTTTTTTGACCTGTTGTGTGGAAAAATAAATGCCCTGGAGATATCAATTCAGGTTCTTGACAAATTGTTTGCATCAGCAGTCATATTAAATTCAACTTTGTCCTTGGTCCAGGTGCTATGAAGCTTGTTCGGCCTGTTTCTCAAAACGTTTGAGTAAGTTTGTGATTTCATTTATTGACTGATATTGTTGCTTGTCAGGTGCTTGCACTATATGATGGCGGTCGCTCCTGTTTCCATGAATTAAAAATTGTGCCTGAGTGACAGCTGAGGATGATAGCCTTCTTTGGTTTTAATTCAACATTGAAACCCATATACTTTAACAGCAATGTTACAGCATTGCTCTGTGCTACTTTATGATTACCCCCATGGTACTTTTACAGCATTTTTTTCCTTTTTCAAGATCACCCCTGCGCTGCTCTTGCAACAACTCCGTGTTATTACAAGTTCATCCCTATGGTACTTTTGCAGCACTGCTTTGTGTTATTTCAAGGTCATAACCCCTGCATGGTACTCTCACAGCACGTTGGCCTTGTCACCTTCCCATTGCACTCTTACAGCGCGGCTTTGCCTATCCCCCTTTTCCTATGTAGATCCCTATGGTATTATTGCAGCACCATTGCCAAACAAACATACATGACCAAGATCACATTTCAGTGCTCTAGTGTTTCTTGACATGTTGACAGTGTACTTTTGCAGCACCCAGAACTCATCCATACCCACAACTTTTGTATGACATGGATATTTGTATGGCATCGGTAAACTTTAAACCTTAATTTGTGTCCATTTTTCAAAAGTTCATATACCGAGAAAACATCAAAGCCACAATGCGAGGTCGTCAATGAAATGCAAAATAAGACCACATCAAAAAACAAAAGTCCAACTGGCAAAAGACAATATTCCAATGGCAGAGCCTTAGTAGCAAGCCCGCACCGCTGGAGTCTAATGTTGCCAACGAGCGCAAGGGTTGCCCAAGAGGTGTATGAGCCGTTAATAGGAATTCAGTATCCCATGCTGTGCAGCCGAATGGGAGACACCTGGCAAATAGGTACCACCTCCATCCGAGAGGATCACCTGATTGCCTCAGGCCTCAGATTTGTCCATTGGTGTCATGCTTCGCCCAATGTGCATGCAAGACATAACCCAAAGAACGATCCTACCGTGCGAGTGTATCAACACCTCGAAGACCAACTTACCAAAGCAGGAGCTGACACCGATGACATCTTGGCCCTTACAACCACCCGAGAAGGAGCAACGAATTTGCGCAACTACTTCACCATTGCCGACAAAACGGCCAATGCAGAGACTGCAGTCAAAGTTGCAGGTGCCACGGCCAAACACTGCATCGTTATCCACGGGGTGTCAACCTTCCTCAGTGGCGAAGGGCACAACCTGGATTATGACCAGGAGTGCTTCACACGTGCAAATGTGGCATACAGCCGAGCCACCGACCTCACCATCCTAGCCTGTCCGCTGAACATGCAAGGGATGCCCGGGGCCCTGCAAGTTCTAGCAGCCCTTTTGCATGGTGTCCAAACGATATATACCTATGACGGCAACAGAGAGCCCGTCATTTTCGGCTCGCTGGACCTTACTGCCGCACAGGTTGCGCAGGCCACGATATTCTTCCAGCAAGCGCTTCTGCCCCACCCAATGTGGTTAGGCCCTCTACCGGTCTGTCTCGCAGAATACCATCAAGGCAAGGTGAGGCGCTTACGTCTCGTCTTAGCAGCACTAACGCACTTGACCAAGGCGGAAATAACTAGCCTGAGAGAAGGACCCCACCTGCCAGGTGGAACGGTCTCGCATGACCTTGTCTATGGCTATGCGGTTGATGCTTCGCTTGAGCCGGAGTGGTTGGTCATAACAGACGGGCAGCAGCCAGGACGTTGGCGGCTCCTCCACAATAGCTCTGGCCCAGGAAAAAGGTGCAGCGTAGGAAGCTCCCTGCGCTACCAACCAACGCCAAGCACGGTGGACCAACGTAGTGCACAAGATTACACTTTCGAAGCGTTGCGCCGAGTGTACTTTTATGACGCATGGAGAGTGCAGCCAGTCCTCGATGCCCCCGGATCTGAACTGGTCCTGCCACCGCGACCAGGCTTATTAGTGCAAGGCTGTTACTGGCCTCAGCCAAGTGCAACACCTGAGGTCCTCTCTGTCTCTGACCGTGAGACAGAAAAGGAGGAACATGATGTGCAAGAGGGACAGCCACTGTCCTCCCCGGTGGCGACAGATGCCACAATGGCCGAAGACGAAGGTGATGAAGTGGTCTCTGTCCACAGCTCCGCCTCAGAGTCACCCACCATCCCGAGTACAGAGCAGCCGGAGGCAGAAGACGAGCGCATGGAAGACGACGACAGTGCTAACACCTCCTCTGCAGATGAGGGTGATTGCCTTAGCAACCATCCAGCTCCTCCTGAAGCATATCCAGCTCACGAAGAAATGCTGGAGGCAGACGATGAAGCAAGGAGCACGCTACCTCCACAGAACGGGGAATCCCCAAGCAGCAGTCCCACGTCGCACTCCTCTGAATCCCCCATCAAACGAAGACCGGGGTCTAAGACTAGTGCAGGGAGAGCTCAGCCCAAGAAGTTACGAAAATCACTTGCTCCAGCATCCAGGCAACAGCTCGGTAGCATCCCCGAGCACGAGCAACCACCGGCCACGCTGGCAGACCTGGCCAGTCGGAATGCTCAAACGCAGGATGCTCCAGTTTGCAGGAATCCGGAGACACCACCTGACCATCCTGGAGCGACGCAAGAGAGCTCACACACCATCACAGAAATAGACCTTGCCAGTGATCAAGAGCAAGCAGAACGCGGAGGCACTGCTGCCACTGATCTCCAACTAGAATCAGAGCAGAGAGCCATGCAGGCCCTCTACGACTATCAACATGCGGCTCGAACGGCCAGAGAAGCTAA